AAATACGTCAGCTGAATAGACCCCACAAGTGTCATCCAAACAACGGAGCGAAAAGCGAACCACAATTTGGATTATCGTGTGATTTATTGGGCCTAGGACGCACTTTCAAAACCCAAGTCTCGGGGGGACTTGCATTGAGACTCTGTCCGAAGGCGACACAAAGTATTTCCATTTCAAAATGCAGCCAATGGTCAGCGGATTTCGTAACTCTCGAATGCAAACTGCACAGGTGGACAAGTTTAGGAGAGGCCCGAAAAAAAAAATAACAAAATAAATAACCCACCACATTTGGGTCTTGGAAATTTGGTTCAGGTTCGTCGTCGTGCTTATGTCATTTGCTGTCATTATGAAAAAATTATTATATTAATTGTGTCCCAAAAAACTGGAGCGTCAACAATAGCTGGCAATTAAATTTGGGTCTATGATGTGTCAAAAAAAATATATAAGCCAACACGGAAAACCAAAAGCACGTGGTGTGGTCCCCTACAAAAAACACAAACTATTGCAGCAAGTTTATAATAAATGCATTTCAGGCGGCTACCTAATCTGAAATAAACATAATATATGGTCCCAGATTCCAAGAAATTTTGAGTGGGCTACAAGTCTACAAGAGTTGCGAAATCGAAATGTTTGAGGATTGTGAAATAATAAAAGATGGTCAAGTTAAAATATTTGCCTACAAGAAGAATATTTTAAAGAATATCATAGCTTTATAGAGATGGTTTAGTTCAAACAATAAATAACAAATTTGTGCTCATTATTGTAGCAGTAATTATAAAATTATTAAAAATATATATTTCCAAAGGTATTAAAAGGATTTATATTAAATTTTCAAAGTAAAATAATATTTATAACACTACGAAACATTTTGAAATGAAAAATAAATTAATGGATGAGAACCAATCGTTGACCTTCTCTTTAATAGCTTTTTCAAAACTCCTCTATCTGAAAATACCCCCCAACTCTAATATCTAATTGAGCTTATTGGCCGGGCCTAATAAATAGGCGGCACATTACAATTATCATTTGGTAACTCTTCATTTAGACTCCACCCAAAGCTCTTAGTAGACAAAGAGATAAGCATGGGCTAACCAAAAATTAGCCACAATTTCCCCACCGATCAATTAAAGATACTATACCACCAAGCGTTTTTTCTGTCTTTTCCTTCAAACAATGAACAGCAAAAAGTGAACCAATTTGTTGCTCAGCTTTAGTTTCGTTATAATTTTGTTTGGGTTTTCTAGTTTCGGGGCATTTTTCGCTGCCCGCTGTTTGGGTAATTTTTAGTGTAATTATTTAAACATTAAACCAGTTGAGCGGCCAGTTGTTTGTTTTGTCAGTGAAAACAAGAAAGTCATAGACATGAAAATGAAATATCATCACCCAAGCGGATGATTCGAGCCTCAAAAGGGATTTTTTACCAGCTTTCTTTCAGATCTCTTTGATTAATTCGGGTGAAATGTGTTCGAAAACGGAAGAACCAAATTAAATGCCATGAATCAAAGGAAACTCAACGAAATGGATGGTAAAACACAATCAACAGCTGGCTGGGAAAGAGAGAACCTACCACAACAATTTTTCCCTTTCCATTTTCCATTTTCCATATTCTGGTTTTCCGATTTTCCCGAAACTGCGCATGACCCACGACCTTGAGGAAAAGGTTCCACAATGTGTGGGTGATTTTTCCAGTGTAAACTTTTCAATAACCAAAACACCTGCTGACATCCGTTTGCCGAATTTTCTGAGAGCCTGCTAAAAAACGTAATGGCGAGTTTGTGTGTTGACAGATTCAAGCGCCAATTTTATCGGTGAGCCCGTGAAAATGTGGAAAACTCTGGTGGAAATTGCTGCGCGCCTAATCGAGGCGCCAGAGGGCGCGGCGACCCGACGGCGCCGTCGACGTTTTCCCATCAAATGCTCCCATCTCCCACGCCTCGCGATTCCATGGTCCCGGCTGCTCCCGAGGGCTGCCGATGGTTTCCATGGTTCCGAGGGCTACGAGGGTCTGGAGCGGAATTCGACACAATCAATGATTCGCTGCGCCTGGCGATGCGGTTGTCAGGAGAAGATGGAGCGCGATTTTCAGTCCGAGACCAACTGAATTCAAGACCGAAATCGAAATCGATGCGGCAAGTTCAAAGCCCCCCTACGAAAATGTAACCTGCGAAAATGTTCCAACGATTCTATTCGGATAAAACAGAAGCAGTCGAACGAAAACCATTAGAAGGTGCGCTAGGGTCTGATGGCATCTAACATCTACCATCTACCATCTGTAATAACTTGTTTGAGCAGACTAATTGCCGCTGCTGGCGGTTCTCGAGGTTCCCGGGCAAAACCTTTCGATATCTCACCTAATGGCTTGGATTTTAGCTGCTGAATTAGCGGCAATTAAGGTGTTACAAGGTGATCTCTGTTTGCCCCGAAGAAAGTCCCAAAGATAAACAAAGGTTACGTGTGAATTGAGCTTAGGAATTGGGCATAGGATATCTTTGAATTACAATGCTAAAAGGTTTTGGTACCAAGAACTTATGTCAAAGTATTTGAAAAAGATTTTAAATTATTTCTTCATGTAAGAATCAATTCGTTTTTATAACAAAAAATCAAAAGTAAACAAAATAAGGTCTTGTACTAATTTAACCAATACAACGGACAGCCAAACGAATTAATATTTTATGCAGCTAAACCCCTAAACTATCGATCTTATTTTTGAACCGATTTTTACATTTTTGATTTTTGTAGGATTTTCAAAGAACTATAATAAACTGTCCTAACTATCGATTAATCGATGTTGAAGCTTTAAAAACAGCTACACAAGAACATTGTTAATATCAGATTCCTTAAGCAATGCCAACTATTTTTTTTATAGTTCCTTCACCTTAGAGATACACAATTTAATTAATATTTCCATCCAACTTCCTGTATCTGTGTGCCCTTAAGAATAACCATGTACTGGCTAATTGCTTATAAGAGCTAACTAATTGGCCTCGCTGATACAAAAGCCGGCTATAAACAGAGTTGGCCTGGCCAAATAGAGAGGCCCATACAAAGATCATCACTCGGAAGGCATATAAAAATGCAGTAGAATGCAGTTAATGCTGCGGGCCAAAAGCTGTGTGAGTCACATTAAGGGCCACCTAGGAGAAAGAAGATCCCCATCACTACCCACTCACAAAAGCATTTTCCAATTAACGTGGCTTATCTAAAAGCCGATAGATTACCGACCAGTATTTTGACAGTCCCCCAGACGAATGATTAAACAATTAGCTGCGAGACAGACTCAGACACGTTCTCTAGATTCGTAGATCGGGAGACAAAAAATACCCCTCATCAATTACAAAAAAAGAAGGGGGATGAAGAGAAAGAGCAAGTTGTGATCATCACACAGCAAAAAAAAATGTTTATTTCATTTTAATTTGGAGAAATATTGACTTGGAACTTAAAATACAGGTCTGTTTTCTCAGATGTTTAAATTAATAGAATTGGAATATTTGCTAATAAATACGATTTTTTCAATAATTTTATATGTTGAAATTAGACAAAATTTGGCTGAAGAAATGATTTCTGGCATTAAATGGTCTGCATTTTTCACTGTGCACTCTGAGATTCAAAAGAAAGTGAAAAACGCTGGGGACTGGGTACTGAGATGGGACCTTCTTCATGGGAGTCACCGTTTACACTTTCCCAAGCCAGCACGCAATCAGACAGAAGACTGAAGACAGAAGGCAGAAGTGAAGTGGAGAAAAACCTCAATCAAAGCTGGCTGCATAACTTAAATGCAGAGGTCATCATCGGCCCGTTGTGTTGGATAGTGTGGGTTGTTTGTTTGGAAAGCGCTGGGATTGGGATTCCGATGGCCACGGCGATGCCAATAGTCAGATGGATGGCACACGGAAACGCACATCACGGCAAATGTCCGAAAATAAAAGGCCGAAAGAAAGAAGTTAACTGTGGCTTATTAACTGAAAATGAAAGCGTTTGCCGAAAAGACAAAGCCCCAACCGGCGAGGCATCATTTCAACCGGTTTTCCGGCCCAGCTAATCACAGCCCCAGTTTTCATCACTGTTACAGTTCCGCATCTGAAGTCAACACCCAACTGACCTCTGACAGGTCGAACCCAAAAAAAAAACAAAGAAGAAATATATAGTTTTAGGAAACCACTACAGAAAAATAAGGGATACTAATCAAAAGTAGAGGTAATCGTAATGTTAAGAAACTAAAACTAAAACCTATTCGAAAGTGTATGTGTAAAACCAAAGTAAAAACGACATTTAAGTGTCATTTGGGGTTGGTGGCTTCATCAAGCTATCAATCCGAAATCACTTATTTTATGGGTTCAATTCATGTTCAATGTTCAATTAAACTTTTCCGCTTGTACAGAGATCATAAAGATAATTACTTATGTACTCGGCGATCACGCTCTGATTAGGGAAATTATTTTTCTACTATTTATAATAGAACAGAGTTAAAACAAAACTATTACTGTTTAAAACAGTGGATTCAAATAATTTTGTTGCATACCGAGCTTAAAAATTGTTCTTTTAATGTATAAACTCAATGTCCCCATGTTTAATCAATGTTAATAAATTTGACGAGTTTGGAAATTTTCGTGTTTAAAGATGTTATTATAAGGTGTATCAATTCTTTATTATTTTCGCTTTGCCTATAAAAAAATAAACTTATTTGCAATCAAATACGAACTAGTTTCCTAGTATATTCTCAAAGTCTCAATATGTCAAAATTCTTTTGTTGGCAGATGGATGTTTCGAGTTTTGAAAATAGAATGGACTCATAAAATAAATTACATTTACATTTGAAAAAATTACCAAACTTAAAATCATTCTGATATTCTTATGTTAAATTTGTTTAATAAATTGCACTAACTTTTGGTGATGTTCAATATCATTTCGGACTATATTTAATAATTTTCCACCAACTGTGACCAAATAAAGGTATTGATTCAACTGTAGTAGCCCAGTGTTTTTAGTTGACATCTACGTACCTCTGTTGATGACGATGGCGCTGCTGTCGCCGCTGCTGCTGGCGCTGTGGTCCGGCTGATCCCCGATCTTGTCCTGCTCCTGGGGCAGTCCCTCCCCCTCCTTGTGAGGCAGTTGCTCCTGCCCGGAGAAGTGGACGCTGCCGTCGCGATGGAAGTGCAGCTCGAATCCGGTGGGCAGGGTGGCCTCGTATTCCGCCGCACAGGTGTGGGCCTGTACGGCCACCTGGTGGTAGAGTCCGGCGAATTGGTGGATCAACGCCCATGCCTGATCCTCCGAGAGGGGGGCCTTGAACGAGTCGAGGATGTTGTGCAGCGTGACGCACTGCTCCGGCGAGGAGCACTGGTGGAAGGCCTGGAGGATCAGTGGGCGAGCTCCGCCCGGCTTCTCCGGATGGAGTCCGTTCGATGAGATAATGGCCAGCTGGTCCGCTGGCAGCTTCTGCTGCTGGGCATCGCCATTGGCGCTGTCCGGCGAGGTGGACAGGAAGCCCTCCTCCTTCGTGTCCTTGAATTTCGCGTTCGGGGTGGGTGTGGGCGTGGCCTTGACCTTGGTCGGGGGCCCTGCCGCCTGCTCCTCCGCCTGGTGCTCCGTCATTATGTGGCTATCGATGGTATCAACCCGATTCCACTGCAAACCCGGCACTGGCCAACATATAATTGATTTTTTCGCCTCTTTTGGCAAATAACCTGCAAATTTCGCGATTTGTTTTTGGTTTGTTTGCGTTTTTCTTCTTTTTTTTGTCGATTTGCGTTGGTTTTATTTGTTGTGTGTATGTGTGTGTGGTAAAACGGGTTAAAGGGAATTTAATAATAAACACAAAGCAAGGGATTTTCGCCGCACACAATTTAATATTTTGTTTTTGTCGTCAGCTACATTTAACACAAAACACAGGGGTACAAGTATAAGTATAACAAAAAACACATGATTTTCGGCTCGAGAATATTGAAAAACTGGCGTCACGTTTTTGTGGGCACTTTTTGATTTGGCATTCGCAATTGCCGTTAGCTTTTGTTGGCTATTTCACAACACTGGAAAAGGTTTAAGTCGCGCACTTTGCTTTATTTTTATTTTATTTCATTTGCTCTTCTTCATAATTTTAAATCTCTGTTTTTCTATGGTAATCGCAGCGCACTTCTTTCGTTTTGTTTTTCCGCTTGTATTTTTATAGCACGTCCGCTTTAGTCCGCTCGCATTTTACTTCTGCTTGGAAACCGCTCGCAATTCCGATTGGAAGTCGCGCTCAGCTGTTTGGCACTCACTCTCTCTCTCTGTTGCGCTCTTTCTCTTCAGCTCTCCCGCTCTCTGGCTTTTTATTTTGATTCCGGTTTTCGCTGTCTTTGCTTTTGCTGATAAGAAACTTTTGATTTGCCTTTGCTCTGGTTGGAATTATTTATTGTATTTATTTTAATTTTTGTTCATTTTTCGAGTGCAATTGGATTTGTGTTAAGGTCAGAAATGCCGCTTTTGGATATAAAAAACTCTTTGAGTGGGCGGAAATTGTAAGATCTTAAAACAGAGTATAAAAAGGTTAAAAAGCTAATTAGTGTTGCGCTTGATGAGAGCTACTTATTACATTCGTGTTATTTTTGGGGGCCCGGCATTGAGATGTTACCTTTATGTTAGCTTAATGTTAGTTAACAAATGTATCCGGCGATTAATAAACATGTTACTTAAAAATAGGTTAGAAATTTTTTAAAACCATTTTGTTATTGTAATGCGTTATTTGATCCAAATATAAAAAAAAAATTATAAAAAAATTGGAAAATGTTATTGATAAATTTATATTTTTATTTGTATAGTTCGATTTTTAATTATCATTGTTTTTATATTTAATAAAAAATGAAGTAAAATTGCAAGCTACCGCAGGAAGATACTGATCTGGATGGCATTTCACCGATCGCGGATCGCCAATTCAAGGTCTCTGGAAAACCGCGCAGCATCCGACAACATTTGTAACTAAAAGATCAGTGACAGGCGCATTTTTACGAGTTAATAAGCCCCATAAGTACGGCCCGGCATCCCCGCCCAGCGACCAAGTTATGATATATGAGCCGTAAATTGAAACTTTATATCAATGCCGACTCGCTGGATGGGGGAGAGATTTGCATACAATATTATTACAGCATCATCGGCATCTGCGGTAAACTTTAACGACTTGTTTTTGTCCGTTGGATAAAAAAAATAAAAATGAAATAAAACAAAAAAAATACTTTATTAATTGGCCGGGGAAGCCTGTGCCTGCGCCTGCGCCTTCTCCTGTCCACGTAATCATCGCATAGCCATAAAAAGTGTGTCCTCCGCTAGGGAACTGGTGGTCCCAGCTGGCCAGGAAAAAATGACGACACCTCGCATCGCGGATTGTCATTAAAATCGCAGAAGCCAGATGCGGCAATTGTCGCAATTTTATGAGCCAATCGCTAATGAATTAATTAGCCAACAACTGCGTTGGCTTACACCCGATAAAAAATAACAATTATGGCCCAAATAGGCAGACAGATCTGTTGGCTTAGATGGCGGGTTCAACAGCCGGTGGCGAACTTCAACCCACTGTTGTCAGATATTGCAGCTGGATTGGATCGGATCGGTCTTTGTTCTCCGCACAATATGGGAACCTGACTCGCATGAATCACTCACAGTAACTCACAATAACTCAAAGAACACAACGGGCCAGAGCCAAATAAATGTGCACGCGAAAAACAAAGCCAGAAACAAATGCGAATAGGTGTAGTTATGATGCCCCGCAAAATGGGGCATATTGGTGCCCGGCCTGGGAAATATATAAAATAATGCTGGAGTTGTAATTGAGTAATAATTTAATCTTCTCTTATTTAAAATACAATTTTTAACAAGAAAATTATTAATAAATTAAATGTAATAAAAGATTTGGAACTCTGTAAAAAGCACCGGACACGAGTAAACATTTAAAAATTATAACCATTTTTGTAGTTTTATCTTTGTAGTGAATACTAATTAACCCCCTTGGGGAAAGTATGTTTAAATCTTATTAATATTCAGTTTAAATAGAGTTAAGCGCAAAAAGTATATACTTATGTATTTAAGAAACCTTTTAATAAAAGTAAATAAGTCCTGCAAAAGTGAATTAACTTGAGTAAACATTTAGAAATCAATTTTCACTAGTCTTTTTTTTTGGTTATTAATTAACCTCCTTTAAGAAAGTATGTTTATTTCTCATTAACATTCAGTTTGAATCAAGCTTATCTCAACAAGTATATAAAAATATCTTTAAATACCTTTAAACTTTATTCGTTTTTAAGTGCTTTTTTTATGATAACCTTTAAATTCATTGTTTTCAGCGTAGCAATCTGAATGTTCAATAAAGTGAACCAGAAAAATCAAATCAAATTTTCAAAATATTTTTTATATTAAAGCAAATAAATTAATTAATTTAACTGATAAGATACTCAGATTATTAAATCATAATTTATGATTTATAATTCATAAATGACAAAATAAAATTTTCATGGAAAACAAGTAATAGTCTTGTATAACATCATTATTTTTCAAATGTGCATTTAATTGCAGAAAAAAACTTTTATTTTTAAGGTTTTCTAATATTTTACACGTCATTGAGTAGTCGTTACCATTCTAGTTCCTCCACTGACTCCATTCCCTGCTTGTCGACGACTGCTGTTCTATTGGGGAGGTTCAGCCAAGCGTTGCATTTTTGGTCAATTACGTTTGTCGCGCGGGTGGCACTTGGCCAAGCTCCAAGTTGCAGCTTGAGCTTCGGATATATACACATAAATCCGACTATATATAGCTGCTGGACTTTCAACTTTGGCTGGTCAGTCCGTGGGCGTGGATTCTGGGCATTGTTTGTCATGCAACAAACCTCTCCCCACGAGAAAACACCGGAAATGTGCATCCGTTTTTAGCCAGACTTGCATCTACTTCGCCGTCTAAATGCCAGCATTTAGTTGGGTTCTAGACAATGAAAATGGGAGTTGGAAAATGTGTGTCAAACGCAGGTAAGTGGAGTCGCTTTTTGGCCAAATTTGGTTGCTGCAGATTGCGTACGCTGGTTGCCACATAATGCTGCAATTTCTGCAGAGGATGCAACGCTTCGATGCACCTGACACTTTGCCCAGAAGTTGCATAAATCCGCAGCCGAAACAGTTGCACTTCAGGCCCTTTCAGAAGGTATTTTAACTTATCAGTGGGCTTGAAATAAATTGGCATGAAATTTATGTGGTCTTTTTAAGAGAAATAACTAAGAAGTTATTTTACTAAATGTCAGAATTGAGGTGGTATTTAACAATATCAAAATTGGGTAAATATTTCTAGCTTGAGCATTTAAATTGCATTTTATTTTTAGATTTAAGAAAGGTGTTGTAGAAATATAAATCATTTTTTTTTCCTGGTAAAATAAATACATTCTTGTTCTCAATTAAACAGCTTTTAAGAAGATGGAACTATTATAGTCTGCTTATTAAATTATTCAACACATATATTCTGGTTTACAATTAAACTGGTTTTCAGATGCTCATAACAAATTAGTTTGAAACTTATGAGATTATGGGAGAACTTATTTGATTGCAACTAAGAGTTAAGGTGATATTTTCAAATGTTAGAATTAATTCAATATTTGTGATGACTTTCCATTTTAGTTTCAGGTTTGATAAAGGTGTTGTGGAAATCTAAATCAATTTATTTCCCCAATTAAAACATTTTTCTAATTTCCCAACACCATATATTCTTCATCTCAATTGAACTGGTTTTGAGGTGAGGGAACTGAGATGTCTACTTTCTGGGGATGTGTTCGGAAATTGTTATTATTGTCACAGCCACCGACTTGGCGTTCATTAAAGCAAATGGACAAAACCTGCCAGTCAGGCGTTCCGTCAACTCATCAGATACGGATGGATATATAGATATAGATATAGTTATAGAGGCAGAGTGAGTCGGAAACCGAGGTTTTGTCATTGGGGCGGGGATCTCGACTCACGTGTGTGTGGAAACCACGGCGGTGCAACTAATGGGCATTACTTTTCTTTGGCTCCGTTGTCTCCTGGCACTTCACAATTGTGCAATATTTTGTCGGCATGTTTATGCCCCTGCAGCTTGTGGAGCTGCTCTAAAAACGTGATGCAATTAGGCCTTTGAAAGGCTGCAGTTGGCCAGAAGAATACGAAAAGAAAAAAAGGGGGGAAAACTGTGTGAAAAGGGCGGCGGAGTTATGATTATCGTACGTGTTCTTCTCGGGTAATCAATTTTTTCATGTCTTCATTATGATTAGTATTTACGAATGTGGGAATTTTGTGTAGGTTTTAATGGGATACATATTCATGGGGGGGGCCTGAGAAGGCCTAGAATGCGAGCTAATTGCAAATGCAAATCAAAGCAAGTAATTTGCCTACTTTCTATCAATCCTAGGGTGAAGTACTATAATTCCCTGTGCCATTTCTACCCATCTCATTAACCTAACCACCTGTAATTGAGAGCTGCTTGGGAACCCTGACACCCATTACCCATCATCATGTGCCACATGTGGCACATTGACCCAAGTGCCTAGTGCCAAATACCAAACCAGCTAACCCAGAAAACGCCAATGACAATAAGAATGTCTCTGCTGGGAAGTAAGTAATATTTTCTATTTTCTTTGGGCCAACTTCAATGATCACAATACGCATTATTTTCGCCGGCTATAAAGCATTCTTCGGTGGGGGGCTTAAAATATCGGAGAACTATAATTGGGGGAAGAGTGGAGATGGAGATGGGAACTCAGGGGGCCGTGCTCAAGTAGACGTGACAAGAGACCTTCGGAGAAAGCGGAGGCATTGGAATCGGCATCTGAATCGGCGGAAGAGCCGCAATCACCGAAATCACACAAATCGCAGAACGATTCCTATGCGGAGCGCTCTAATTTGTGTTCATGCAATTATTTCAGGTAACTCCGATTTGCCTGCGAGCTAGCAAGCCAGTAAGCCAGAAATCCAGTGAGGTTCATTTAAACGGTAGGGCAGCGTATTAAAACTAAGTGCCACTTAGGCTAAGCCAGTCTGCCCAAAAGCTCCTCACATTCAGAACTTGCGCAAAAAGCCCTGACAGCCAAAGAGATTGTCTCTCTAATTCCGACTCTAGCCGAAGACTCGAAGTACACGCAGAGAAAATGGGTAGTCTATTATAGCTATAAATTCATAATGTCTTGAGATCTTAAATCATATTAATGCTAGCTATTATAT